GCTGAGCTAATTTTAAGCAACTTTATAATAAAAAACTTTTTTGTATCTCTAAAATTGATCGATTTAGAGCTATTTCCTTGAATTGAGTTAGGGTGTCTCTAAAAAAAAAACAATTGTTTTGCTCTAGTTTTCTTAATTCAAATTTCTCAGCAAAGGTGTCTTCAAATATCTTTTAGATCTTTAGAAGGCGAAAATTTTCGCTGCACAAAGCTTGTCAATATCTTTTGTCGATCAAGAGTAATTGACGTTTTTCTTCTGTTCAGTTCATTGATTGGGTATTTTCCAATGATTAATCAAATTGAGACATCAAATTAAATTGAATTCGTGTTTTACGCAACCGTTAACGACCCAACATGATGTGTTTAGTACAAAATTGCGAGGCATCTTTTGATTAGACAAAACAATACACTTTATTACGTATGTTTTAATTAATAAGGGAAAACCCGTAGGAAAACACAAGTTTTAGTCTCGTTTATCCCTAAAATGTGTGTCTAAATGCAGCTTACTTAAAGTAGAAAGGACACTTTTAAGTAGGAAATTTACCAAGCTGTCCAATGAAGGCAAGATTTTTGTGTTAAATGGCATAGTTAGTTAGAGCCAATTTATGGCAAGCATAGACCAAAACAGAAAAAAAAATTCAATAACTCAGTAATCTTTGAGATCTGATTATATGCGTAGAACAATTTTTTACTTCAAATATGACCTTCTATCGCTCCTTAAATTATTTGCACTAAGGAACCGACTACCCTGTATAGTAGTTGAAGGTTAGTTGCAGTTGTAAAGAGTAGTTATAAGTCTACTTTATTCCAATTTCAAACAAACCTCCAGACCAGACCAAGGTGGGAATTCTCTAAGTATGCCTGATGGGACTAGAAACATAAATAATAATTTTAAAATTTTCAAATGAACTTAGTTGAAAAGGCACGTATGTGTCACTTGAGAATTGAAACATGTAAACCACACTACTCCAAGAAACAAACATCATTTAAAGGCAAAAGTTCAACTAACGTTTCATCAATTCGTTTAGCACTGCGCAGTAGATTGTATAAGAAACTAGATTAAGAAACTGTGAATAGTTAGCTTTAGTTAGTTTTAAGTAGTGATTAACAAATTGTGTGTGTATTCCTTCTAACCCCCACTGACCGGCAGTGCTATTATGGAATAATTCTCTTTACAATGCCGCATCTATGGTCATTGTAGACAGCGTTAGTCCGGGAGTTAGAAAGTGATAGCTCTATTGCAGAACTAGCAACCCATTTCAGAATGTATTGAGAGTCATGCCCATTTCGAGGTTACTTTCACTTACAATAAGCGCCGCATGTATGTATTACCTCTATCAATTGGATATTAGTATTACATACACAATTCCAGGTACGAAAATATTCTCTTCAAACCTAGCACGTATTTAGTTTAATTTTGATGTTAAATTTATAAATAACTAGCTGACCCGTTGAACTTCGTCCCGTCCAAAAAATTGATTTTTGTTTTAAACAATTTCGAGCATTCACGATTCCACCCTAAATTTATCTCTTTGAATGGAATATTCGCGATTTATTTAGATGATACTACTCTTACTTCAATTAATAATTGAATGGAACACTTTTCGAATTGGATTGAATTCAATAATATTTATTTACACGGAATGTTAAGTGGCTTATGGAATCATTAATCAGGTCAATTCATAAAGCATAAAGCAACAGACTACATTCCAAGACCAACAATTGAAATGGCTTTAACTCCATTTTGTAAACAAACCTTGTAAGGCCATTTTCTCGCGAACCGAAGTTCGCAAAGGCAAACCAACATAATGAACTGGTAGGGGAAATTCTCCTATACCCGATTGTGGTTTAGGTTTGCGAATGAAGGTTTTGGTTCGCGAGAAAATGGCCTTACAAGGTTTGTTCACAAATGGGAGTTAAGGCCATTACAATTGTTGGTCTTGATTCTTCGTTTTGTTATCCGGCGCATAAATAAATAAAGATGAAGGCTTTCCAACACGTGAACATGCCACATATAATTGGCCATGTGAAAAGCAAGGGTATTCAAGGTTGATTCGAAATACTTCCAAAGATTGGCCTTGTGATTTATTGATTGTCATGGCGAATGCAAGGTGAACCGGAAATTTAATACGTTTGAACTCGATAAATTTGTTGATATCAGTGGAATTCTCGTAAGAAATGTTCTTTAAAATGTTCATTTCGACCATGTTTCGTTTATTTTTTCGATGTAAAAATGTTCCTTGGGCGGAGACGAACACAAAAAAAAAAAATACTCGAATCGGACGATCCATTCTTCAGTTATGCGCGGTCTTATGTATGCAACTTTGTTTTATATATATGTAGAAAAAGATAATAGGCTCGGTCTCACCATGTTCTGCTGGTCTGCCGCCATTGATTGCTTCTTTTGGAATCCATTGCACTTTTTCTCTAACGCTTCGTATTTCATTCCACACTTCACCGGCAATTTCCTTCCGTAGATCGTCCTTGGTCGGTTCTGACATAATTCCGCCTTTTCCAGGCTTTCTTGTTTTCCTAGGGAGATAAATCCACACTAATTTCCGTACCTGGTTCGATGTTTACTCTTCCTCGCTGGTTGGTATGGTCGATCTCATGCCCATCATCTGTTACTGTATTGCCATGGTCATCTGGCATAAGGCTCGCGTCTTAAATTGCCGGTCCACCGAGCACTCGGAATGAGTCATTGAATAAATGTAGAGATTAGTATGATATGGTGTTATATGCAAAATTCGAAAAAATGGAATACGAAAGGGATTAGTTTCAAGAAATGATAGTTTCATCAGATTCCCCAACCAACCATACTGAAGCAAAGTAAGTCAATACAAGCTATATTGCGACTAAATGGTTGCTTGTGTATTCATATGGCCGTCAGAATGGTTCATCGGTTGCGAAGTGAAGTATTCCTGAATGTGATGCGTTATATTTCTCAATGTTTTGATTTTATCCTAACGTTACCTCAATGTTATATCACAGACAAACGAACACAACACATTGAACATTTATCATTGTAAACCCTGTCGTAGACATTGTGATGGGCACTCAACAGATGACTGTAGTGTGTAAACGTCAAACGCAAGAAAATTGATTATGTGCGCCACAAGTGGCGGCACTATCAACTAAGAAACATTTAAATTGACCGTTAAAAGAGATTTCGATGAACATCTTAAGCATGTAATGTCTGCTTATCTGTGATCATACCTTCACTATCGCAACTCCGGGTAATCCGCAAGGCACTTTTGATCTAACTGCAATCACTCTCTCATACTTGAAATGTGCCACGACTAAATTGGCACAACGACGCCCTATACGCTCTCTGACCAAAGTGCAGAGTTTAAGTAGTGATTAACAAAATGTGATAATATCACCTGAGATACAATGAATACCGTATTGATTAGAATAATAAATTTAGCACTCTCAATCAAGAACTCAATCACTCTGCTGTTCTTCTCTTTCTACAAACATCCTAAAAAGTTACAGCTCTTTTAACTATTTTGATGATTAAATTAATCACGATGTGATATACTTTAGTCCGGTTGTGTACTTCTCCTGATACGAATCCAACTATATATGTTTAGGGTTTAAATGAAGAAACTTGGTGCTTTTAGCAAAAGTTCTCGAAATTCATTTATTTTTTTCTGATACATAGACTCATTATCTCTGGAAAATGGATAGTGGGAGTTTGGTTGTGTAATAGCATGTTTAAAATCTGGTGACTGTTTCAAAAGATTCAGAGTAACATTTGAAGCAACAATAAAAAAAAGTTAAAAAATGTATTGACCATCATTTTCCACAGAGGATTATGATAAATTAAACTCACGACCCTCCGCTCAGAAAAAGAAACGGTATCAGCTAAGCTTATACGTCTGTTTCCCATACCTTCCATTGAACTGCAATGAAGAAACTAATTATTCAAGCCCATATATTGATAATAAAATCACATAAGTATCGTTTAAAATGCCGTCATCTATCGCTTTCCGTCCGACCCGAATGATCGATTACTCATGCATATCTTGACAAATCGCGGTCCCTATCGACCAACGACGACCTTCTTCTGGTCACAACACACCGAGATACAAACCCAGTTAAGCCAAACCCTGTCCTTGCGCAATTAGGACCGGATCTGGCCATATTTTATATTCCACCGGCGGTGGCTGTCGAGCTGGTTCGCTTTTTATTATGCACCGTTTTTTCAACCCATCTTCCGAAGCTTATTCGAAAATTAGTTATAATTATACCTTTTTCCAATGGGGGGCTAAAAAAATAACCTACACGAGCCAATCCCCCGTCAGCTAGTTCACATATTTATACAGATTCTTATTTATTGTCGTTCGTTTTTTCACTCTTTCTGTTGTCTTTTATAATTACAGATCATTTAGTGGAGACCTGCTACTACTGCTGGCGGGCTTGCGCTACTGCTCATGTTGAAATCGGACCCTTGAATCGGAGTGATGTGGTCGTCGTCGTCAGCGAATGTATTTTGTATCAAGCCGTAGAAAAAACGTGTCAAACAACCTGTACGAAAAGGAAGGACTAGCTCTCTGGTGCTCTCGGTGAAAAACCTTAACCCGTACGCCACCCATCGTAAAACCACGACCGAGCACAGGGCAACTACTAGAAAAATAAATATGAAAGTAAAATTTTGGCCCGTTTCGATACTGCTCCCCTTCGGTAGTGGCCGCGGTGATGTTAGCGGTGATAACCGGTGCTACAATCAGTGTCGTTTAGTGTACATTTATAACAAGTGATTTGCTCTCGAGAGTGGGTACAGCATTTGAAGAATTAGTTCGTGTGAGTTGTGAAGTGTAGAGTGCTTCAAGGGAGCGGCATTCGGTGTGCCATGGCGGTTCGTTTTACCAACCACTTGACGATGAAGGGCCACGTGGTCCTCGTGCTGCTAGTGTTGTTGCTGTTTCAAAGTTGTACCCGTTGTGGTGCGTATGGTATAAAACCAACGCTGCAGACTACCAGTCAGACGAAGATGATGTTGAAGGAAAGTTTGCTGATTCCTTCGATGGACCCGGAGAAGCAAGCTAAAGCAATGTATGAAAAAGCATTGCAGCAGTACGGGATTGTTGGACGAACACTGAAGGAGATTTGCAAACCCTGGCAAGCCAAGGGTTGTCAGTGTGCTGGTTCTTCGGACGAGGTAGCACTAACATGTCGAAGCATCGGCCTGGAGACGATTCCGGTTAACCTGCCGGCGGAGCTTGTCAAACTGTAAGTATGCATATGTGAAACTCGATGATTATGAATTCAGAAACAATAATTGGCTTCGGAAAACTAAATCAATAAAAAGAATAAGAAAATCGATCTAACTGCACAGTGGTCCAGAAATGGAAATTAGGAGGATAAAATATGTTTACCTAGAAATTGTAACTTTACCAGCAAAGTGCCTTCTGTACACACAGTTGGTACTTGAGCGGGTCGGTTTCATCTCTTTTTGCCAGTGGTGGCGGGGGGGGGGACACCCCTCACCATCCCTCTCCAAAGGAGGAGTTTGGTAAAGAGAGATGTAAAAACCGATTTGTACCTTCCTTAAAAGTTGTCCTAGCTCGCTTCTCTAATATCTATATACAATCTTCACACTGCCGTACTCTAACGGAACTATCAACTCTATGCTTTCATCTACTCCATCTATCGTATAAAAATTACCACTACAGTCTGTTATTTGAAATTAGCATCTTCAACTACATTTGACAATGTTTATTTTATTTGCCAAATATTTGCCGAGAACGCAGCAGAAATGAAGTTTGATTGCAGGAGAAAACAAATCTAATAGTGTTTGATGAATTAAATGTACAGTACATGTCGGTTTCTTTCAGTGCAGTGGCATCAGTAGTAAGAACCTGTAAAACCAACGAATAAAATTACAAGACACGAAGCACTATGGCACGAGGGAAAAATCGTAATCCACTGAATAATTATCTTAATCTTCCCATGAATTACATTCTGGATCTTTGAGGGAGACAGTGAATTAATTGGCACTTGCTTTGAAAGTTCGCATTTGAACTTGCGTGAGGCGGTGGTAGGTGAAGGTCCGCTTATCTGCAGTAGGCAAGCCAACGAAGCTTAAGAACAGAATTTATTAGTCCTATTTTTCATTTTTTCTCCCGGTATGGTAGTGTTAGTGGTATGGTCGGATGCTACACCGTACGCTTGCTGGAGCATGGTCACAGAGCACGCCGGATGGATAAATTAAAGTCGTTGGTTTATCGATGACACTTATTTGCAACAAACGATCTATTTAATTAACATTGACACTGTTGGTCAGTGAATGGAATGGCGGGGATATAATCGAACCGATGATGTCGGTCATAGGCTGTCAAGTCGTAAAATGTAATTCCGAACGTATCATTTGTATTAGATTGCGGTGGTTTCACATATCAGTGAGACAAATATTTAACAAACCATGTAAACAGGATTTCATTGCAATTATAAACTAATTGGAAATGGTTGGTGGAATTTGCAAAACAATGATCAACGTATGCAATTTACTCATTGCAGAAAATTTCTATGAATTTGCAGCATTTAAACTGCATAGATATTCCATTCCATCCATCCATTCACGACGATTTAAAATGTAGTTAGTCTCAGTAACTATGTCCCTTGACCCGATGAAGAACCAATCTGCTAAAGAAAGGTCAGATTTCGATTCAAGTGCACTCGTCCAGTGTTGATTGAATGGTTGTGAGTGTGCTTTTTCGGACAGTCAGCCTGATTAATTTACCACCAGAATACAATGCGGCTGGCTATGATATACTACTGACCGAACACCATAATAAAAACTCAATAACGTCAGCCGCAGAAGTAGTCCATCGCGATGAAAGTCAATGGGATTGATTTTGGCTTTTATGGTTAATAACCATTAATTTATTGCACCCATCTGTTGTGCTACTTGGCACCTTTCAAGTCAGAGGTAGAGAGAGCAGTTCAAGGAACGTCATCCGGCGTATCCTTTGAGAATGGCGATGGCGTTGTGGCAGGCCATTGTTCCACTTGTTGCCGCTGGAGATGAATAAGTACCAATCTCACACACGACCGGAGACCGTCTTAAGGGGGGCTGTAATGGATTCCATTTATGGGAATTCGTGGAATACACTGTGGACGAGTGCACTTGGTTTTTTTTTTTTTTTTTTTTGTCTTTATTATAGAGATTTTTAGCCTGAGGCTAGTTCATCTCTTAAGTGCACTTGGTGGCTAGACAGTGTAGGCGGTATCTTTTGCTTTATTCATACACCTTTTTGTATGGAATGATGGAGATGTATGATGAATGATGTGTTACTTAGTACAAGCTCGAGTAAATTAATCAAATTGCAACTATGCGGTACTATTTCCTAAATTTCAATGCAACGAACATTGTTTGAACTCTTCGCTGAATAAGAAACAAAAAATTCTCTAAATAAATGTATGCGTGTACATGTACATCGGTGAATTCGCAGGTTCCTATTAAAACGTTAGGATACATAGTTGAAGATGCCAAATGTCAAATAACAGACTTAAAGTGGTCATTTTATACGATTGATGAGGACATGAAGGTATAGAGTTGATATTTCCGTTAGAGTACGGCAGTGTGAAAATTGTATATAGAGAGTAGAAATCGAGCAAGGACAGGAGTCTTTCTACAATTCAATTACAATGGAACTGTCGTAGTTTAATACCTAAATTAGACTCGTTCAAGTATTTGATTCACAATTCTGATTGTGATATATTTGCACTCTGTAAAACTTGGCTTTCTTCTGAAGATGAACTAAACTTCCACGATTTTAACATTATCTGCCTGGACCGAGATGATTCATATGGTGGCGTACTTTTGGGGATCAAAAAGTGCTACTCCTTCTATAAAATCTCAATCCCAATAATTTCAGGCATTGAAATTGTCGCTTGCCAAATAAATGTGAAGAACAAAGATCTTTGCATAGCTTCTGTATATGTTCCTCCAAGGACTTCCATAAGCCGCCGTCAGCTTTGGAGTTCAGTTAATATCCTTCCATCTCCAGTTCTAATACTGGGCGATATGAACTCACACGGTACTGGTTGGGGCGAATCATACGATGACAATAGAGCGGGTATTTTCTATGATTTGTGCGACGATTTCAACTTGACTATCTTGAACACTGGTGATTCAACACGTATAGCAAACCCTCCTGCTCGAGAGAGCCGTCTTGACATTTCTTTGTGCTCTAACTCACTATCATTAGATTGTCTGTGGAAGGTTATCAATGATCCCCATGCTAGTGATCACTTACCAATTATTATTTCAATCAAAAGTGGTCGTCTAATAACAGATCAATCAATACAAGTTCCTTTTGACCTCACGAGGAACATTGATTAGCAAAAAATTGTATCGGTGGTAACTCTTGGTATTGATTCTACCGATCCTCTACCACCACTGGAAGAGTATCGTTTCTTTACGGAGCTAAGGCCTGTACTCGAAAAAAAAAAATGCACCAGACAAAAGTGTTCGCCAAAAATTTATTTTAAGTCGGATTTTCTTGAAACTTTCAGGGAATGAACTAATACATATGGCTTATGTTTCGGCATAATTACTTTATTCAATAACGTTTCCATCGCTGAAAGCCCCACCTTTCCCTTAAGACCCTTCATTACATTTTGTGCAATGGTGGAGCCGACCTTTTTGGCCTCACTAGGCCGGCGCCGGTGGTTTAGTGGTAAGCGTGACTGCTTTCTAATACCCCAATGGGTCTGGGTTCAATCCCAGCCGAGGTCGGTGGGATTTTTCTGAGGCATAATAATCTCTGATCACGTCTTCCTTCGGAAGGGAAGTAAAGCCGTTGGTCCCGGCCCATGTGTGTTGAATGGGTGCGATATCTTACGCAGGTGTGGAAGCTGCCTTCCTGCACATTTGATTGCCCGTCAATGGATGGCAATCGATGTCCGTCGGTGATTGGCACTAGATTGCGGAACAGAGACCGACGTTAAATAAAGGATAGAAGACCTTTTTGGTCACTTTCATCCATTCTTTCTTCAACTCCAGCTCGTTCTTAAACACCTTGGACGATTTTCGAACTTTGGCCTTCATTATGGCCCAAAATCTTTCCACCGGACGAATCTCTGGTGAATTTGGGGGGGGGGGGGGGGGTGGTTGGCGGTTTTTGGTACAAAAACAACGTTATTGTTTCTGTACCAATCCAACGTCGATCGCGCGTAATGGCATGATGCCAGGTCCGGCCAAAATAATGTCTCGCCTTCGTGGGACCGCCGGAAAGGGCAACTGATGCTTCTGGAGGCACTCTGTGCGGTAAACTTCGCTATTGATGGTACCCATTGTGGTGTACGGTTTACTCAGTTTACCGCATTGGCATATGGCCTGCCAAAGTAAGTATTTTTTGGCGAATTTGTCCACTTTCTTCTTCCTTATGTATTGCGGAACATCAAACCGTGATTTGGCAACGTAGAACTCCAGCCCCGGTATCTGCTTTGCGTCTGCCTTGATGTAGGTTTCGTCATCCATAACCACACACATCGGTTTCGTTAACTACTCTCGATACAGCTTCCTTGCGCAGGATTTGGCCGCAGTGTTTTGTTGATCACGCCGGTTCGGTGCCTTGAATACACGAAGCCCAGCTCGTTTCATGGTTTGCTGAACGAACACTTTGCCTTCAGAGCCGCGTCGTGAATCGAAAGGTTCGGATTACGCTTCCACACCTTCCGGGCTTCAAAGGTTCAGCTGTCTTCGATTTTCTTCCACTTTCAGCCCGCCGCTTGGTTGTCTGGGACTCCTTAAACGATTTTACCACCCGAGACACAGTTGTATGGGTGATTCCCAGTTGTCTTCCGATCCATCTCATGGTCGCAGTCGGATTTTCCATGACGGCGCGCAAAATTCTCCGGCGATTTTCTTCTTGTTTCGATGACATCTCAATAACCCCTGAACCGATTGTTATGAAATTTTTCATATGTAAACATTTCACTCCAAACTAGTTATACGCAGATTTTCATCAATTTTTACTCACGGATAAAATAGTTACACACGGATAAAAATGGTGCATTTTTTTTTTCGAGCACTAGCCTTAATCTACAAAAGCGCATTAGAAGCTCAGAAAAGACGTGTACGAAGTGCATCCCTCAAAAGAAAACCCGCCACCCCTGAATGGAATGACGAATGCACAAAGTTGTATCTTGAGAAATCCGAAGCCTTTAAAGATTATCGTAGACATGAAAGATCTGAGCTTTTTGAAAAGTAGCTAAAGCTTGAA